GAAGGAAGGAAGGAAGGAAGGAAGGAAGGAAGGAAGGAAGGAAAGAAGGAAGGAAAGAAGGGGCTCGCCAAGGACAAGTGCCTGTTAGAAGTGGGAATTAAAGCTGGTTGATTCGCTTCCTCTCCAGCCTTTCCCCCTAAGCTCCCCACTGAGTGAGACGGGGGTCTCTGCTCCTGGCCACTCCCGCGAGGGCTCCCTTACCGGGGTTTTGGGGCCAGGGCTCTGTGACCCTGCCTGCTTCAGAGCCTCCACCTCATCCACCATGCGAGTCGCCATTGCTTGGAGATATCCCCTGGATTCCTTCTCGTCGCTCACCCTGGGGCGGAGGCAAAGGGGCGGGGGAGTCAGGGGGATCCGCCCTGGGCAGGGGGTGCAGGGAAACCCCCCACCCCCCACTCCCTGCTCCCAGAAATGGCACGGGGCAGCCTAAAGAGAGAGCCGGCTTCCACCCTCATCGGGCAAGTCGCATTCACCTTCCCACCCGAGCCTGCTTAGCTCCAACCAAGGTTGGCCAGGTGCTGCCAGCCATGGATGCAGGCGAAGGCTGCCTTGGGCTGGGCTTGACCCCTTTGGACGCCATGGATATATCCATGGAAGTTTGCCACTGCCTTCTTCCAGGATTTTCTCCAACTTCCCAGTCTAGCCTACTGCGGTGGGATTTCCTGCTGGTCTCCCACCCAAGGCTCACCAGGTCTGACTGGATCAGCTACGGTGGCTTCTGCCAAACTGCGCTATGGCCCCTGGCAACATTTAATCCTTCCAAGCACCTTAATTCCCAGCTTCCGTAGTTTAGCTTCCCTCGCCAGAAATCAAGTTTGTTGGGTGATGTAGAATTCAGAGAAGGTTATGGAGAAAGAGTGGTGGATTTCCACAAGCAAAGGGGGCTAAAGGTGTAACTTCCCCAACCGGACGTCCCCCCGGGGTTGCTCTGACTACAACTCCCAGAATTCCACTGGCAGAGGATTCCAGGAGTTCCGGTCCCGACTCATCTGGAGGACACCAGGTTGGGGGCAAGCTGTGCTAGGGGCTGCGATCCTTCAGTGGAGAGGAGCAGGCCCTCTGTTTATCCTCAGAGGCACTCTTGGGATGCTCACCACTTCAAAATGTCGGCAAGCTGAACCTCCCAGTTGGAGAAGGCGGCTTTGTGGGATTCGGACGTGCAGCTCCCCGGCCCCAGGTGAGAAGAGTCGTTGCACCGAGAATCGATCTGTTGCATGGCGGAGAAGAAGCAGACGGCAGCGCTCAGTGGACAGCCTTCAAAGGGGCCCTGGGGTTCAGTGGGGAAGGGGCTGGACCAGGAGCAGGTGAGCTGGGTTCAAGTCCCACCCCAGCCACAGAAGCATGGCTGGCTGGGGAATTCTGGGAGTTGAAGTCCACCTGTCTTAAAGTTGCCAAAGTTGAGAAACCCGGAGCCAGGTGGATGGACTCAGTCACCACAGTGATGGCTGCTCTGTTGGAAGGACCAGGCTGGGGACAGACCCTCCCGGAGAAAATCGATATACGTGGCTGCTAAGAGGCGACACCGATTTGCTGGCCCAGACCCCAGACCCCAACCCAGGAGAGAGGGAACCTGGGACCCCCAGAAGTTCCTTGGAATGAAAGGCACCCCTACCTGGTCACCCGCGGGCGTGGCGCTGCAGTTCTTGCCCGCGGCCGCTTGGCCCGCCCGGGCTGGCTCCGCGCTGTCGCATCTAGGCGGAAGAACCATTCAGGGTCTCTCCCCGCCCGAGCTGGGGCCGGTTCCTGCTCGGATCCCACCCCGACCCCTCCGTGGCAAAGCTCCAGGGACCTGCTTCCCGCGGCTCTGCCTGTCCCGCTGCCGGCTGGAGGCGCCGGCCGCGTCCCCCCGCCAGCCCGGTGGAGCCCGTCGCCCGCCG